ATATATATATATATAATTACTTAATAATAATTTATATATATAAATATATAAATATATATTAATTAATATAATAATATCGCTATTATTTTAGATCCAACATACAAGTTAAAATTGTTGGAGCATTTTTTCCTAAACTTTATGATATTTCATCTTCAGATGAAATTAATAATATCAAGAAATTATGCTTCTCATTGTTTGAAGAGAATCGAATTAAAGTTAAGGGAATAATGAAAAGTTCAACTTCACGAACAAATATCAATGAGTCAAACTTGGATAATCTAAATATCAACAATTTTCTTATTGATTATGACTCTTTTGTGATGATACAATTAAAATACAAACAAAGTCTAAAATAAAGTTTTACTTGAAAGAAAAGTTTTGTCTAAGAGTGCTACTTTTGACATTCTTGGCTGAAACAAAAGGAACAAGGTAATAAATAATTAAACTTTATTTATTTAATAAAAGTTATTTTTATTTTTTATTGTTGGTTTTAATTATTAATTTAAATTGTCTACTCATTCATTTTCTTGTCATGTAGTTTCTATTGATATTACAAGAAAAAAATAATATATAGACTTGAAAGATAAACGTTTGCAAAAATATGAAGAAGTAATTCCGATGATGAGGTTAAATGTCTACATATTTATTTATTGAGATTCATAGTATATGATTTAATTTAACTAATTTCTGTACAATTTTTTTCACATGTCTTAGAGATTATTATTAACATGTGATCATTATGTTGGAATTTTAATTACAACTTTTATGATAATTTTTTTTTTAAAGTTTGTTTATAAGAATGAAATGTTTTGTAATCTTTATTAATTTATAAAAATTATTATGTTAGATTTTTTTAATGTTAAATACTAGACAAATTAATATTATATTTGCTTGTGTGAATTATTATTTATTTATTTACTTTATACATAAATAAAATGCGAGTCCATGTGCGGATATACGTATACAGGTACCCAACGAGTGTAGGAATAAAGATTAAAATTGTTACTCACGTAAATATAGAACTGGGTACAAATATTATTTTTAAACGCGGATATAGAAGTAGATACTATAAGATCTTACTTAGACCCTACTGAGTTTGGATCTCACTAAGCACGAGCTACAAAGAGAAATCTAAACATTGGTGTGCTAAGCAAGGTGGATCTCACTAAGTGCTTGATAATGTTAATTTTTACTTACATTCTAGTACCAAATTTGTTAACACATTCAACTCTTTTCTAACTTTTGACTTATGTAATCCTCAATTTAACTTCTCTTTTGTAAGTAAAGACACTTTGGTTACCACTACAAGAAAAATGCTGATTTCTGACAGAAATTTCTGACGGAAATAGGTAAATTTCCGACGGATTTTTCTTTTTCCGACGGATTTTAATCCGTCGAAAAAAGTGGCGTCGGAAAAAAAAATCCATCGAAAATAATTTTTCCGATGGAAAATTCTGTCATAAATTTCCGACGGAAATATCCGTCAGAAATTTCTGACGGAAAAATTTGTCGGAAATTTCTTTCAACATTTCCAACGGAAAAATCGGTCAGAAATTTCAATCAGAAATTTCTGACGGAATTTTCTGTCGGAAATTATAATTTTTTTTTTAATTTTAATAAATTTAATAATGTAACAACCCTCATATTTAGCCTCTCAAGGGTTCTATTTTGACAATATTTCACTCATTGTTACTCCTTTTTCCTTCCGTGTAGTTTTCAACTTACTTATCCATTCTTGCATGCTTTTATATTCAACTTCTAAATACACATCAGAAACTTCATAAGGTGTAGGGCATTTAACTGATGGATCTACCTCAGCTACTGCAATAATCAAATTATGCAACCATGGAGAATTTGATAAATTCATAGGTAAGCGTTCATAAATTATAAACTTGCTTACCGCTTCTCTGAGCTTGTTCTTTAATGTTTTCATAAGACCCCTTACTTTTACTTCTCACAAGATCCGCATTTGTAGATCTTAAAGCAAAAGTAGCATCTTCTTTTCTTGAAGTTTGACAACACTCATGCGAGAGCTTCCACCTGATTCATAGATGTTATTAGATCCCTCTGTTTGTTGTCTGAATCGTTGTCTATCTTCCCACTCACGTTGTGATCTAATGCTTTGTTGCGAAGCTATCCTCATCTCCTCGTCACTATCTTCTTCATCATCTTCTCTTAATCGAGATTCAAATTCTTCTTTTCTTTTTCTAAAGTCAATTTTCTTTTCTTTTTTATCTTTGAGAAGTTTCATCATATTCTCCCTAACAAATGACGTGACTCTTGGACAACCTGCTACTTGACCTTTATCATGTGCTATGTGTTGCTTCAATCTTGTAATGCCACCCCTTATTATCTTTTGACAAAGTTTACATTGGACATTGTTGCGATTTCCTGCTATAGGTACTCCAAAATGCCATCCAATATCGTCGCTTGGAGCACCTTCGAGTCTTCCTATAGGAAATTCTTCATTTGATGTCATTGTGTATATATATATGTATAAAATTTTGAAAATATAATATCAATCAATAATTAAATTATATTTCAAAATTCATAACAATGACTAATAAATTAACATAATAATAAAAATAAATATAAACACCTAATATTGATATACATATAATTAGGCTAAACATATTATTATATATAAAAATATTACAAAATATTCTAATAATCATTCACATCTATACTAATATATAAAGGGAATACCCTTTTCGATAACCACTTTGGTCTCCACATTTTTTAACCATTATACCTTTCTATTTTAAAAAATTAAAAAAATATTCTTTTATCAAATTTAAAAACTTAAAACTAATTGACTAACAAAAATACATTATTTTCTGTAAAAATAAAATAAGTTGAGTTTAGTTTTTAAGATGCTAATTTCATTTTGTTTAAATTAGATAATAATTATAATTATATTTTTTTATTTACTATTACAATATTTGTATATTCAATGGTGGTAGAAAACATTTACTAACAAAAGCATTTTTTTTGTCATTTTACTATCTAAATAATAATAAAAGAAAGATTTTCATCCATGTGATAAAACAGCTACATGTGTACTTAGTTGACAGTTATTATGCTTTTTAATGAAATTAAATAGTTTCAGTTAACAGAAAAGCTAAATTAATTGATGAACAAATTAAATAGTTGCATGTGGCCCATTTAAAATTCTCATTAAAGGCCACAACTACAAG